TGACTCTGTGTATTCCTTCCATCTTCTCTTGATACTTTCTGAATCATTCAGTAATTTTCCCAGAGAGTCTTTCAGTAAAGAAAGATTGATATAAGTTTGAAGGAAACAAAAAGGAATTCTCGGAGTCCTAGTATGGCAGTATGGGATAAGTGTTGGACTTCTAGATCAGGTTAAACTGCAAGGTCAGTGGTTCAAATCCACCAGCCCTTCCTCAGAAACCCTAAACAGGGTCACTATGAGTCTGATCTGAATCCACAGCACTTAGCAATGCAAGAAGAAGTATATGCAAATGTGTGAGGATGGAATAATAACATTTAATGTTAAAATTTTCCTCAGATTGTATTCACTTGTTGTTGTTGTTAAGTACCGTGGAGTCAGTTCCAACTCACAGTGACCCTGCACAGGGTTTCTGAGGCTGTAAATCTTTATGGGAGCAAAACGCCCATCTTTCTCCCACAGAACCACTGGTAGTTTCAAACTGATGACCTTGAGGTTGGCCGCCCAACTCATAACCACTATGCTACCAGAGCTTCTTTTGTATTCACTTACATTTCTGGAATTGAAATTTCACAATTGAAGGAGATCATTTTGGTCTTTCCTTTTTGTAGGAAATAGTTACAAATATGTTTAAAAATGGTTCCCAGTATACAGTTTAAGTTGTGGGATGAGTGTTTTTCAGTTTAAAAGGATGCAACAGCTTTGAAGCCTTATTTTTTTAAATAAAAATATTCTGACAGGATTGAATAAGAAGTCCTAAAAATGTGCATCTGTTTAAGTAGGTGTGGGCACATTTTAAGATCACATATTTCGGATTAGCTTCCATGCGAGCCTAACTCTTCTGGTCCTCAGACCTCTCCTACAGAATCAAAGGTTTGGAACAGTGGTTCTCAAATACTATAACTAGATAGATAATGGGGGTTTTGGTGGTGGTAATATGCTGTGGAGTAGGTTTCAACTCATAGCACTCCTGTATAGGACTTGGTAGGTTGTGAATCTTTATGGGAGCAGAAAACTTAATCTTTCTCCCACAGAACAGCTGGTAGTTTTGAACTGCTGACTTTGAAGTTAGAAGCCCAACTTGTAACTGCTACGCTATCAGAGCTCCTTATTAGGGCTTTTAAAGCATCCCAAAGTCTAAGGTGTATCCCATACCAATTAATTAGGAATCTGGTAGTGGATTCCAGGTAGTACTAAAATTTACCAGGTGATCCCAATGTGCAGCCCAGTTTACTAGCCAAGGTTAATAACCTCAATTTGCTTCATTGTGTTACAGATTAATGTAATGATTCATCATAATAGTGCTCTTTGAAATTTAGAAAGTGTTCCTCTATTTATAAAGGTCAGTAGTTTGTACATACAGAGCAGGTGGCACTGTTGCATAATCATCAGATTGGACTGTTAACCACAAGGTTAACCACAAGGTCAGCATTCAGAACCTAACAGTTCTCCCTTGGGAGAAAGATGAGAATTTCTGCTCCCATAATATTTACAAGGAGCTCTGGTAGCATAGTGGTTGCAAATGGGGCTGTGAACCTCCAGGTTAGCAGTTTGAAACTACCAGCCGTTCCTACATTCTGTGGGAGAAATATAAGGCTTTCTGCTCCCATAAAGATTTATAGCCTCAGAAACCCTATACAAGATGGCTTTGAGTTGGAACTGACTCCACCACACACAACCACCACAGCCATATGATTTACAGACTCACTCTACAAGATTATTATGAGGCACATCTAATTTGATCGTACTTAACAACAAGAAGTTAGTTGCATATGAGATTTGAACCATTCCTAGAATTTAATGATTTCTCTAAGTTGAGAAAGATTTTTATAACACACAATTGCATCTTTAAAAATAAACTAAAAATGGAAAGTTCAATATAATTTAGATGATGCATCCATATGTCTTAT